CTCTCTCTCTCTCTCTCTCTCTCTCTCAAATAAATAAAAAAAAATTTTTTAAAATAAAAAAATAAATAAATAAATAAATCTTGATGAATTAAAAAAAAGATCTTAGCTTTACCTCTTCATTGTTAGAGTATATGGGACAACATCAACTTTCAGGCTTAGCTTGACACAATATGTGTGTGTAAAAATCTAGTTCAGTAAGAAAAGTCTCAGGTCTTGGGGGACACATAATCAGAGTAGGAGAGTAGCATGAGCTTACCCTCACTGGAAAGTGAGCTTCTTGCTCAAATCAAGGGAGCACCTGAAAAGAGAACCTGTAGGGGAAGGGTGACTTCCATGAGCAGACATGTCACCCTTGCAGCAACCCCTAGTACAAGGCAGCATCTACCTCACAGGAGCAGTGCCTTGGGGCTGAACAATAAGCTCCCAGGCTCAGGAGTTCTTCACTTCTAAAGTGGGGACAGTGCCCTAAGGCACCCCCAGACAGGGAAATAGCAGTAATGCGTTCTGCTGGACAGCAGAGCATCCTGTCACCATATTTCTGTGTTTATGAGCCTGTTCTGAGATAAAAATATGTGTAATTCATAGAGGTTAAACTCAGCCAAACTCTGCCACCATTCCAGCCATGTTCCTGGTGACCTGACTGGCAGAGAGCAACGCGTTCCTACATTGCAAACTTTGGGGGTCATGTGCTGGAGCATCCAGGGAAGTGGGGAGAATCCCTGCCACCTCCACCCCACACACCTGTCTTGGACAAGGAGCTACATCCCTTTTGAGTGCGGTACTGGGGGTCTTCCCTTCCAGAAGGCCAGGATATTGGGTTAAAACCAGAAGTTGTTATCTGATCTGAGTTTTTAAATACAGCATCAGATAGGCAGGTAAATAAAATAGATGAGATAAACAGAAGAAAATACATGAAATTTTTGTGAAAGGTTAATTTTGACTAGTAGAATGACGGGTGTGTGTGTGTGTGTGTGTGTGTGTGTGTTTATTTTTTTCCAAAATTTCTACACTGATACTGTGCCATTTCGTAACTAGGAAAACAAGTTATTTTTAAAAGTAACCAATGGCGGGCTGGTGAGATGGCTCAGTGGTCTAAAGCACCCACTTAGAACAAGCTAAGCTTAAGCAAAGCCCAGGGACCACGGTTCAATCCCCCAGCACCACATGCCAGCCAGCCCCGCCCCCCTGGTGGGCTGAGCTGGCCACACACACACTAAATAAATAAATAAATAAATTTAAAAGTAACCAATGGCAAATGATTCCTAGAAGAACATATTTCTCTAGGTTGCCATGTGGCCTGGAAAGTGTGCCCTCTCTTAATGTTTAGTCTTCTCTTCCTTCTCTGGTCAAAACAGTACACTCTCATAATGCACTCATCATGAGATATTTGCTAGTTATTTGCTGCAAATTACTATTTGAAGACACACACACAGCTGCTGTGTCTCTCAACCAGGAAGCTGTGTGAAGACTAGGAGAAAGGAGAAGCAGCTTCCTGTGGTCCCATCTTTGATTCCTGGACCCACTTCCAGAACCATCCCTTTATCAACTGTGAAGTAAAAAAAACCTAAAGACTTCTTAATTGGTTAGACAATGAATGAAAATGTAAAAACTGCTAGAGATTAAAAAAAAAAAAGTTTTACCAAAAAAATATAGATATTTCAAATCAAAATCAAAATGGCAGAACTCGAGCTTTCCCATCTTGCAAGATGGCAGATGAAAAAACTGAGAAACTAGACACTAAAGAGAAGAAACCCAAAGCCAAGAAGGCTTCTGCCAGTGGTATTAGTAAAAAAGGTAAAATGAAGGCAAAAAAAGTCCAAGAAGGGGCAGCCCCACTGCAGCCAAAATCCCATCCTGGTTAGAGGAATTGGTACATACTCCCAATCTTCCATGTATTCCAGAAAGGCTTTGTACAAGAGAAAGTATACAACTGCTAATTCAAAGGTTGAGAGAAAAAAAAAAAAGGAGAAAGTTGTTGCTATGATCACAAAACTAGTTGGTAAGGACAAGAATGGAGGTACCCGGGTGGTTAAGCTTCAAAAAATGCTTAGATCCTACCCTACTGAAGATGTTCCCTGAAAGCTCTTGAGCCATGGCAAGAAACCTTTTCAGCCAGCATGTGAGGAAACTTCGAGCCAGCATCACTCCCAGCACCATCTTTTTTTTCCATAATTTTACTG